GTGTCTACGGAAAGTTGTAATCATAAACAGCTAGACATAAATAACGACAAATACCGGTAAAAATATTCCTTTTGTCTAAAAATATCTAGTCAAAATTTATTAATATTTTGACTACATATTCTTTTAATTATGTCTGGATAGAAATTTACTGGCATTTAATTTTCTTCAATAAGAAAGGTAAGTTCTTCTTTAGTTATTTTGTGTTATTGGCTTAGCTTCTTGGACAAGAAGTCCAAGATTGATATCTTGTGTTGGTAAGTTTTAACCGCAAATGTCAAGTAAATCCTCATCTCCGTTGGAAACGCTAAAAGCCATAGGTCAGGTAAAAGCTTAGGTCATGACGGCCGACGGTATTTGTACACGTCTGGCAAACGGACGCACGTACGCCGCTCGTTTGTCATTGCACTCATGGACTGGATTGAACAGATTCATCACGTTATTCTTGATTTGATTGTAAATTGTAAATTTTAAACGAAACTGTATTTTTAATCAGTTAATTTTTAATTACAGATAGTAAAGTGAAGTACAGTCGCGCACGTCGGTGGTGGCGTGTCAGTGGCGCAGCACTCGTGTTTGTGCAGTCCGGTGCGTTACGTCCGCAGTGATTGCCGCACGTACTGTGTCATTACCGTCGACGTATTCGCTTGTGAGTGGTACTGTCGTGCACGAAAGCGTTAAAATAAAATCAATTTAATATAAATTGGAATACAACTTTGGATTTTTCATATTCGATTCACAGTCAGTAGTATATCGAAGTTTAAAGTTATAGTACTTTTTCTTATTTACTAATTTCATCTTACGGGATGTATGAATTACGGTTATTATTGCAATATTAGAAAAAATATTGTAGTTTCTTTTACTTTTTAATAATTAAATAATACTTAGTCATTTGCTTCGTCTTAAACAAGTGTCAATGGTTGTAAATTATTCAAACAAGCATTAAGTGCGACCTTGTATTAAAACAAATACATTCTCGATGCAATTATAAATGCAAACAAATTATCAGCTTTATGACAACACAGTTGATCGCCAATAACAACTGTTTAAAAATACATTTTTTCGATTCACAGACATAAACGTAATAATTTCAGCGCTACTTTTAATCTATATATATAAAAGAAATTCGTGTTGGTTACACTATTTATAACTCAAGAATGGCTTTACCGATATGGCTGAAAATTGGTTTGGAGGTAGCTTAGAGCAAGGAGACAGACATAGGATACTATTTATTCTTTTTTTTTCGAATGAAGAGCTGCTTTTTATTTAACTTACTAACATTATAAATGCGAATGTTTAGATGGATGTGATGTGGATGGATGGATGTGGGGGCTACACTAATTCAGTTCTTTTATAGATCCACGCGAACGGAGTCACAGGCGACAGCTTGTTTATAACATATGAAAATGTATTATATTTAATTTTCAATATAGCTCTTATTTTTAATCCGGATCACGACCGTTTTTAATTTGCACATAATTATTTAGACACCAAAGTGTACAATGAAAATAACTATAATATAAATGTAGTAAAAGCACTTGAGTTCATGACTGTACTCACGTTTTCCATTGCATCCCGCGCACCGCTGCGTCTCGTCCCACACGGCGGGTGATTTGCGATGATCACTGTTTGTCATACTGCGCCTGCGCCTCCATTAACTGGATTCTACTACGATGAGTTATGTACCTGTAATGTTATCGAGTGCTTTGACGTTCGGCTCCCTCTACAACATTTGTAGGTTCTAAGTCTAATCAGTAAAAGATTGACAAGAATTGATTATAGCTGATCAGAAAACGGTTTACGAAATAAAAATTTAGGCTGTGTATTTAATTCTATTTTAAGCCATTTTCTTTTGTGGTAACAAACAATCATCATCAGCTCATTATACGTCCCCACCGAGGGGCCCTGAGCCTAACCTAAGTTAAAGGTGACTAGGCCATAGTCAGCGCTGGCCAAGTGCGGGTTGGTTGACTTCACACATGTCTTTGAATTTCTTCTCAGATATGTGCAGGTTGCATCACGATGTTTTCCTTCACCGACGGAAGAACGACGGATAAATGTACATATGTAAACAAACAATATTCAAGCTTTATTAACTAAGTAAATTATATTAAAATGCTTTATATTATTGTATTTAGTAGAAGACAGATCCTGACAAGGGTAGTACTTTTTTCTTGGTACTTAATCTTGCATTTGTAATTGCCTGCTGATATTTTCCTGCACTATACTTGAATAGGTTTAGTAGAAATAAGCGTATTACTTAGTTTTAGACCTGAATATTTAAAGAAAGGTCTAAATAAACCTGTAGATAGGAATAAAATGATTGAATATCCCTTCAGTAGCGCACAAGGGATCACAGTCGATCATACAAAATAATCTATAGACTCCAATTACTAAGCAATTCTTAGATATAGAACAAAGGATGCGCTTCGTTACACGGAGATAGGCAATAGTTCCAACCAATGCCAGTGAAATTGACACACGCACACTTATTTTCTAAGTCACGACCAAAAGTACTGAAACATTTGCTCACTCGATCACACGATTCAATTCACACGTCTACCGTTTTCGTCTCTCTCTAATACCTTAAGTTAAAATGAGAGGTTTGCGTGTTGAGGACTTTCGCCGATTGCCTGAGTCAGGACAGATGGAAATCAATTTTGAAATAACGTGAGCTTACATGCTACCAATATGAATGGCGAAAATTGGCTTACTGGACATACGGTCACTAAGTTTGGACAGCCTCTAGATAGAAGAATGAATAACAAACGGTAACAAATATTCCGAAACAATTCAGACATAAATTATTTGAGATATTTTATTGTGAATAAGTCCTGTAATAAGATAGTTTTTAAATGTTTTGATATAGTCTACATATTAGTTATGTAAGTCCATGCTTAATAGAATCTCAGACCTTCTTAATTCATCATTTCGCTGTAGGATTGTTAACAATATCATTTTCAGATTCATCGCTCGTAGCTTTATGGTTTTTACATTTGTATTCTTTACAAAGCAGTGTGTTAACAGATAGACAAGCGTTGCTCGTGGATCTACAGCTGTATCATCAACACCCAGTTATTTGCCGTCGATTCGTGTGAGAACAACCTTACCAATGCTTACAGTAATTTTCATCCAACGGGAATGTCAAATGTTGAACAACTTTCGAGTAGTTTAACAATTCTCAGAACATTCAAACATAATTTGTTTGGTCATCTTCTTTGCCTTTTCTATATATAGGATCAGCCTTTTTTCCTGAGGGAATTCTTCAAAAGATTTGCCTTCTGGGGGAAAGGATGGTGAGACTTGACTCACTAAAATCCCTTAGGCCATTCTCAAGGACAATTGGGGACAGTTCCAGGATCTTCAAAGTCAGCAAAGTCTATTGTTTCGTATTTTATCATAATGTCTTCTTTTATATTACCTATCTATACTTTTTAATGTTCCCTACCTCTAAAGGAAAACGGAACCCTTATTAGGAACCCGTCTGTCTGTCTATCAAGACATTTTTTCTCAGGAACGCGTGAAGTTATCAAGCTTTATTTCGATCTTCCTTTATTTTTGCTATTTTAATTTCTTTTCTCACAATTATTTGACAATGTTCGATATTGTTTGGTAATATTACTATTATCAGTTCACGCTTGCAAGATTCTTCATAACTTGCGAGCTGTATTAATGAATTCAGACGCGTATTTTTTGTGTACAGTAACTGTCTGTAGTCGACACAGGACTGGACACGGAGAATATAATTCGTCGTACCAACATTATCTTGTCACCGATCCAATGAATACACTTGCTAACAAGGAATCATCCTCACTCGTTTAAAAACGTTTTGACGCTGTCAGTTTGAAGGAGCGCCTCAAAGACCACCTTATGACCTAAAAGGGTTAACTAAAAGCAAAGGAAATTGAACTTAAATGCATTATTAAAATAAAGTTTAGTTTGCGTTGTTTTGTAATTTAGCAGGATAGCGGTGTCTTATCAAAAGTGTGACAGTCACTTGACGAATTCTTCTGGACTATTATTGCATAGATTTATCTAAATTCAATTCAAATTCAAATTTATTTGAATTTCAGTCTTAATGCTTATTGAATAAGGTTACTATTGGAATATCAGTAATGGGTTGCTTATGACTTTTTAAAACTGTTAACAGTCATGAAGATGTCAGACATCTTCCGAGTGACATGTGAGTAGAAATTTGAATATATCACGCTGGGACGGAATTTCACTATTTTTGACATATTTGACGTGGGAACTATGGCAGGCTGACACATCCAGACAGTCTGGTGTCTATGTTTTCCTGTCATATAATTTTTTTGAATTATATTTGTTATTTACACAACTTAGATGCGTCTACGATAGTACGTCTCATTCGCATGACTGCTTACATACCTCGAGATTAGCTCTTCTAAAACAATTAATAAAATAACGCCTCTTTCATACGAGGGCAAAACAGTAAAAGAGAGGAGATAGTGTTCCCATATTTAACGTACTACGACTATCAAAACATTATTATTATGGATAGGCATTTGTGTTCAAACAATACCGTACTTCACTGTACTATGGCTTTCTTTCACTTTTCCGCCCTCGTGTGCAACTCCTCTGGTCGAATAGAAACCGGGGTCGGGCGCCGCGTCGCCCGTCACTTATTTACCGAAAACATTGATGACATTTTGATGGGGATACGAGCATTTGCTTTACACTTATTACTTCGCAGCGGGTTATGCCGACTTGTTTCTATTGTTGATAATTAAAATTATACTGGATGTGACATGTCAATATAGTAAACAGAAAATTGCGCAAAACAGTTATGTTCAACGATTCACTTTTGTGTTATAAATTCACACGCTGATTTTTCTTAGTAATACTTTATTGTATTTAGGTGTTACTTAAACATATTTCGAAATGATACAACTCTTACTTAATTCACTTAAAAAATATGTGATTTTACTTATTCTAAATTTAAGTGATTTAAGATGACGGTCTTATCTTTTATTGTAATAGCTATCAGTTGTAGCAAAATGTTATGGAAAATTGTAGTATCATCATTAACAGCTCACTATACGTCCCCACCAAGGGCTCGGAGCCTACACTAAGTTAAGGGTGATTAGTCCATAGTCAACCACGCTGGCTAAGTTCAAGTTGGTTGACTTCACACATATCTTTGAATTTCTTCTCAGATATGTGCAGGCTGCATCATGATGTTTTCTTTCACCGTAAGAACTCCGGATAAATGTACATATGTAAATCGGAAATCGAAAAACACATTGGTACATGGCGGGATCGAACCCAGGACCTGCTGATTGCAAGTCAAGTGCTTGACCCCTGGGCCACCGAAGCTCTCGAATTGTAGTATAATTCAAATTAATTCGTGTCATTTCTAGTGATTCCTAATCTTTGTAACATCGAACTCAATATAAATAGGCAAAAAAACGACGTCCATTGCGCCTCCGATCGCACCGATAATTTTTCAACACACCATCTACTTATTACGATCATAGGCAGAGCATTAACTAACTCAGTCTTGCAATCGTGACAATATAGTAACAATGAAAAATGAACTGTATCACAAGTGAATAAGGTTAATAATACTGTAACAGGATGCAAAATTTTCTTCTTTCTCTGTTCAACAAAATTGAATTTTAACATCAATCAAATTAAGTTCAAATTAGTTTGTACGGTTATTAATGGTGCTAGTATTTCAGCTAGACATCGGTCAAAGAATCGTGACCGGCCCGTCCCCAGCACCTGACGTCCACTTGTATTTAATGTAACCTCAATGCATCGTACAAAAACACGAGTTTCAACATTTCGAGACACAAATACCAGTTTCCTATCCCCGGACTACTAAATTAGCTGCCATATCTTGTTAATGGTGCTAATCATACTGCCACTGAATGTCCGTCAACCCTATGCGAATTAAAACAGGCCCAAACTGACAATATTGATTGAGCTGTATAGTGACTGATCGAAATTTCATAAGATTATGCCTCGTTTACATTATGCCAGTGCAGTAAGACAGTAACGCTGGTTTGATATGGACGGTATGGACTTATTGACGCCTGAAAGTGTTTACATTATGCTAGTTGTATTTTGAGTGATACTGTCCTATTGTGCTGGGAAAATGTAATATAGAACTTATAAGGTGACCCTATGAGGGTTCCGTATTTTATCCTATCGAGGTACGGAACCCTAAAAATAAAAACAATTAATAATTATTACCATATAAAAGTAGATTTTTACAAATTCACTGAATAACCAATAACTTAAAAGCACAACATACCTACTACTAAAGTGACTCGCAGAATAGCCATCGGAGTACGTTTAACTCATCGAAACGGTTCGATTTAGTTAGGATTTAGTAAAAAAAAATTATAATTATATATACATGTATTAATTTAACCGTGATTTTTGTTAATGGCTAGCAAGATAAAATAGACAGACAAATAACTACGCAAATTAAATAAAGTTCATATCAACATCTAGACAATTTTAATAATATATAGGAGTTAAAAGCTAATATCCAACATGAAGATATTTAACGTAAAAATATAGTTACATAATATAAAACCTTCATTGTCCACACATCACAAAGAAATCTCCCACGAGCACGTAATGGCACCTATCTGAAAACTGGACAATCGACATATTAATAAAACACACGATTTTAACCCATAAAGCTTAAGAGA